ACAAGTATTTTATACTCTCCTATTTATTCAAATTTAAATATTTAATGCATGGACCGACCTAAGATTTGAAAATTCGAAAAATAAATTTACTTTAATGTACGATAAGCATCTAGCATAACTGCTCGGCGTGGATCCTCAATCACGCTCTACTGAAATAGTCAGATATTGTTATTGACTGCAGCCGCATTCAGTTCAGTCTTCTTCTTTACTTACTTTCAAGTGCATTTAGTAAAATTGCAATGATTTAATAAAGTTTACTCGCTTCACACTGAACACCGTGAAGTTAAAATTAGCCATGAAAAGCGTCTTCCAACACACAAAAAACAAATTCACTTTTCTAGCATTAAATCTAATTAAACAGCGCAATACGTTGCCCTGACTAGTGAAACTGCATATGTGCATATTGCATGCACATCTCTGCCGCGGTAATTGCTGCCTCGGCTGCCACATGAGCCTCCTCTTTTCCTCTTTTTTTGGTTGGTTTTTTGTAAAATCACGCTCACTGCACACGTATGCGCTTATAAGTAGTTGCATACAGTAAACATGGGTTAAATGAAACTCTTATTAAATATAAAAGTGTTTCACATAAAGGGTGTTTTTTTAGACATATGATTTTCAGGAAGAAATAAAACGCCCTCCAGCTAGTGTTATGGTTAGGAATCCGGCTTTATTTTAAAAATAAGTATTTGCCATTATGTTTTTTTTTTAAATGATTCCAACCGAAAAGCTCAATTTTCGAACGCTTTTGCAGCAGTTGGGATTGTTTGTCAACATGATGCCCCGAATATTCTCCTCCAAGGCGTCAATTGTCCCGATCTTAGCTGCGTAGACAAGCAACTTCACATAACCTTGCAAAAGAATAGTCCAGCGGTGTTAAGTCGCACGATCTTGGCGCAACGGCACGAACCACGAACCACGACGTGAGATAGTGCGCTCGCCAACAGTTTCTTTCAATAAATTGATTGTTTGATTGTTACGCCATGTTAGAACCAAAGGTCGTTCACATCAATATCTTCCAATTCAGGCACGGAAAAGTTATTAGACATGTCTCTTAGGCGTTTTCTATTAACTGCAAACTTTATAGCCGGCTTCAATTTGTAAGGAATATCAATCAGTGGCACCCTCTCTCTGCCCAGAGAGCACACCAAACGGCACCTTTCTGAGGATGTAACGGCGTCCCAACAAAGGCATATGCATTATCATCACTTCAAATGCGAAAATTTTGTTTAATAATTTAGCCATTCAACCAAAAGTGATCTTCATTGCTGAATAAAAGTTTCGTGTGAAAATTGTTGTATGCGTTCGTTTTGTTCGTGCTCAGCTTAGAGGTCGTTTGGGTTCAATTCTTGCCAGATCCTTTCACAAAATCTTCCCTAAAATGAATGGGCAGAGCTGCATTTGTTGCGCGCGATAGCAGATGAGCTCTTTGGATCTCCGTCAATACTATGTTCCACAGCAGCACCGCACAGTACGGCATCTCTGAGAATGTTCTTTATCCACTAGAATAAACGTGGTGTGTAACTGACCCAAGATTGCTCGAACTACCGACTTTGCTGGGTGATTACGCCAGTCGATCATTGGACCCAGCGCCTGATGTGGGAATGGTCTGCTGTTATACAAAATTAAGCGTTCTTTGGTGGCAGAATTGATTAAAAAAGTTTACTAAGTATTTTAAAAACCCCGGATTTTATTCAAAATGTCATATGTATATATGAAAAAAGGGGTATTTTCAAAGACGGTTCATCACTGGCCAGTGTTTACTGTATTATTTTTGTTTACTGCTGTTATTGTGCCAACTTGAGCTGCAATTACATTAAAATTGAAAACTAAAAATAAGTCTTAACTAAAAGTAGTAGCTACACAAATTAAATAACCGTGTTGCAAATATAGTAAAAAAAAATACAACAAAAATACGAGATCAAAAAAAGAAAAAAAATATATTGTAAACATATTTATATTTATATATTTATACATACTCGTATGTATATGGCAACTGCGACTGCGGTAGCCGAGTGGTTAGGATTGTGTACTGCCATTCGAAAAGCTCGGGTTTAAACCCTGGTACGACCAACAACCAAAAGTTATAGCAAATCAATTTAAATAAAAAATTAAGTTAAATTTTCTAATTGCGGTTAGGAGGCGGCTTAGCATAAATTGTTGGTCCCTCCATTTGTTGGAAAATCATCAAGACGCAAAAACCACAAATTAGAAGCGGAGCTCGGCCTAAAATCGCTCCAACCGTTACAAAGCGCCAATAATATATATACACGTATGAAAGCTGCAGTAATTGAGTGCTGCAGAAAGTACAAATGTACATACAAATACATAAATACTATTATTGGCGTTTAATAACCGCTAAAGTGATTTTTTCTAATCTCACCTAGCGAGATGATCACAAGAAGAAGATGAATTGATTTATGTCCATTCATTATCCAGGTATCTCTTCTCAGCTTTAAACATTTATCGGAACCAGCGGAACGCGATTATAGCCGAGTCTAGAATAGCGCACCATTCGTTTCTCTATTTCAGTGTTCGGCTACATTTGGAGGCACTGGGTAATGCCAAAGCCTTCTTCACCACGAACAGATACTGCATTGGTGTTGGCATCCATACGGACGATATGTCCTAGTCAGCGCAACCGCTCTCTTAATTCTCAATTGTTACTCACATCCAGCAGCAAGACTATACTCAAACTCTTGCGTTGTCGTCGCACACACTGGGAACGTGAGCAACCGTTGTGCGAGATGAAAGCCGTATTTAATGCAGGATCACGGCGAAACAAGAGAAACCCTCAGTGCAGCCATTCCAAAAACCATTTGCTAAGGGTCTACAGAAGTTTAAGTAATGCCGTTACGTGTGGGCTTCGGTTTTGAGACAATCGCCTCATTTTTTAAATCTGTCCAAAATCTGCACCTACTAGCGTAGCGAAGTTGTGTCCTGCGTTTGACAGCCGTCGCATAGAAATCAGTGGCAATTAGAATGAAAATTACGGATGAGAGACCCCACCTCTCTTAAATTCTTTGCCTCATTTCATCGAATATCGATATCGCTCACGCTTCTTCAACCTATAGCAAGAAGGAAGTGATGAGTGACTTGTAGAATTTGGTTTTTGATATTGTTGGTGTTGATACTGGTGTCGAAATCGTCTATGTCTTCAAATTTATGGCAGTAAACTGTAGCGAAGGAGGCAAATACGCTGACCGCGTTTTTACTAATATGAGTCTAGTCGTAGCTCGCTGCCACTCTCACTCACTCTCTCTTTCATATCCGGCCGTTAAACGCTCGTATGGAAGAATGCACCTTCTCTCCTTAGCTCTGCAGCTAGTATTACTTACTCTAGTTTTAGTTTGGGAACGTCACTTGATAAGGCATCACCTTGTCTGAAACATCGTTAGGTATTGAACGATTTAGAGAGGTCGTTTCCGATTCTGACAGATTTTTTCCTTTCACTCGGGGTCAGTTCCAACCATATACGAGAGGTGTGATCAGAAAATAGCCGTTATTTGCTGTTTTTTTCAAAAAGTGTTTATTAATTCATCAATAACTATCTTGACCCCTTCAAAGTAATCCCCTCAGTTATAATAATAAAACACTTCTGCTAGCGTTTTTTCCAATCCTCGAAATATTTCTGAAACGCGTTTTTTGGTATCGCCAAAAGCTGCTGTTTCGATCTTTCATCTTCTTAGTCGTAGCAAACGCTTTACTTTCAAACGTGTCTTCTGTTTTGGGAGGGGGAAAAAGTCAGCGGGGGCCAAGTCCGGTGAATACGGTCGTTGAGGCATGATAACGGTTTTGTTTTTGGCTAAAAGTTCACGCACAGGCATCGATATGTGAGCTGGTGCGTTATCATTATGAAAAATCCAGATTGTTTTTTCCACAATTCTGTGCGTTTCTGACGAATTGCTTCGCGCAAACGGCGGTAGTATTCCTTATTGACCGTACGATCTTGCGGCACGAATTCATGATGCACCACGACATTCCAGTCGAATAAAAGAGTGAGCAAAACATTCGCTCGGGCGTCGTCATTGACATCCTCTCGGCCATCCTTAAACCTGTTATACCACAACTGAACTTGTGTTCTGCTCATTGTAAAGTCGCCAAACACCACAGTCAACATTTCAAATGGCGTATTTAGTTTCATTTTTTACACTTATTATAGTCTCTTTGATCCGCTTTTTCGAATAGTAAAAAACACCACTAACTTTTTTATTTGTCAAAAATAAACTGACAATCCGAAATGGCTGATATTGCCAACATATGTATACAACAGACATGTGTACCAACACAATAGAAAAAAAGCGAGAATCGAACATAAGTAACTCACCAAATTTGATATTAACGGATATTTTCTGATCACACCTCGTATGTTTTGCGATGCTGCTGAGTTCGCATGGAATTCAGATATAGTACAGCGTAGAAGTAGCTCATTTTCGTGCTGTCCTAGGCCGCTTTGAAGTCGACAAAGAGCTGGTGTGTGACGAATCTCTTTTCACGAATCTTTTCTAAGATTTCTCGCATGGAGAATACGAGCTCGTATGTGATCTTGACCCGAAACCATACTAATAAGGTCGAATCAGTTGGTTGAAAATGGATGGTGCATTGCAGATGAAATATTGATATCGCACATACATATATGACGTTCATATTTTGCATATTTCGCAGAGTATCCCTAAATGTTTTCCCCATCTTTTAGATCTTTCTTGCAATGTTTCACCTCTTCTTATGCCCTCTAGTATTCTTCTTTCGGTTATCTTGACCTTAGAATGCAAGACAACAACTTTTGAGCACATTGTCAAAAGCCTCAAATTATTTACCGCTAAAATGCTCAAGCTGCACTCTTCTATTGCATTTTGTTGCATCAGGTGGTTTGTTATCTGTCAAAAAGTTTTTCATGTCCTTACTTTATTTTAAATATTTGTCTGTGTTTGCCTTCATTAAGCATACTTGTGTATTGGTATATACATAATTACTTGAAATATAATTCTTTTCTTTACTTCTAGACAACAAAGTCAACAACAACAAATCAACCAGCCACCTGCACTTTAAATCATTCAAATAGTGATTTGGTGTTGTTTGAATAAGAAAACAAAAAAAAAAAAAAAAAAAAAAAAAATATTTCATTCATTCGAATTTCGAAAAATCGAATACTGAAGGTAAGTGTATAAAAAAAAATTTACTTATAAAAAATTCCATGGTCTATACTCATATATTGTAATATAGGTCTAGTAATAAAAAATCCATTATTTTGTTCTAAAACTGCGAGCAGTGTTTTGATTGTAAAGGAGCTAGACAGTTCACAAAAAACAGCCTGGTATCATTTCAAAAATGCTGCCTGTTTAAGAAAAGCTCAATGTATGAGTGCCACATGAGTTAATGAGAAAAAACCTCGTGGAGCGAATTTTAATCTGCAAATCGCAGCTGAATCATAACAAAATCGACTCATTTCCGTAGCAAAGTGAAATGAAAATGGTCGTAATCGAAGAGCAATTGGTCGGCGCTAATGGTCTCCAAGCCGGGTTTGACAGTCAAGAAGGTTTTTCTTTTGCATTTTATGTGGGATTGGTAAGGCATCAATGGCCCGAAAGCGCTTATTATTAGCCAATAGCAGGGAAATGTGTTTCATCAGGGCAACTCCAGACCACACATATCGGTGACTCGTTAGAAAGTCTGAGAGCTTGGCTAAGAGGTTCCTTTGCTTTCACCTTATAGTCCGTATCTTACACAATGCGATTGCCAACTGTATCTGTCTATCAAGGGAAGCCTATGAAAATCGTTTGTCCCAAACTTGATTTCAATAGAAATAAGGGTTACTATGAGAAAGGCATAATGACATTTCCTTCAAAATGACAAAGAGTTATCGAGCAAAACCGTGCACATTTGGCATAACTTTGGTAAATAAAGCCTTCAATTCAATACAAAAATAATCGATTTCTTTTTACTCGACCTAATATATATAAGGAAAGTGAAGCAACAAATTTAGTTCATGTCATATTATTTTATATAATAATGAATTCATCATTTTCTGAATGCGAAGGGTTTGAAAAATTATTAAATTTTGGGGCTCATTTAAAGCATCCCTTCTGATTTCCTAAGACATCATATCCTATGTATTAATGTATATATGGTTGTATGTCTGTCCCAGTGTAATTCTTATGTTCACATTTGCGAATTGGAAATCCTTAAAATATCCGCTATTCAAACACGTTGTTTGTAAGTATGTATGTGCAGTACATGAGTGCAATATTTTGCTTTCTAACAACAAAGCAAATGCCAATTTCCGCTCAATGTTTGCACACTAGGGTGGTTGAAATTGTGCAATGGAAAATTCCACGGCAATGAGAATAACAAACAAATTTAGCTAGAAAAATTTAAAATTTGATTTGAATTTTTCAAGTTTTTGTTTTCAGAATACTTTTTTAGCTGTTTTATAGCTTGGTATAGTTTGAGGAAAATTCAAAATTATTTCTCGACTAATTCTCACATGGTTGAACAAAGCAATAGACGTATCACTGGCAGGTTCATGTATCTGATACCTTGTTGGTCCTGATAGCGAAAACTTGTTTTCGTAATATAAAATGGTTTTCGCGATAAAACTTCATTCCTGTAAAACCTGCCAACGGAAAATTCACCAAAAACCTGCTTTCGCTAAAAACCGCAACCCTAGAATGCATAGCCGGTTAACCGTCGGTCCAGTAGCAACTTTGAATAGATCTAGGGGAAGAATCGCTACAAGCAGACCATTGAAGCTTTCAAACTAATACTATACAAGAGCATTCCTCTAGTGGAAATTCATGAAACTCAGCTCAGAAATTAAGCTCCTAAATTCGACACCTACCAGAAGGCGCATTCAAGATTTGATACCTGTTTAATTTCAAGTGCTCTCCGTCGAATATGTGATAGAGCTGGACATGCACAAAAGAAATCTAAAACTGTTTCCTGTGTAGATATGTATGATTTGGATAATGAAAATAATAAAAATTTCATGAAAATCCATTTTTTACAAAATTTGAACCTTGCTTTACATGTGAAACTCCCCATCATTCAAATTGTCCCCTCTCGAATTATCACAAATTTCGATGCGATTGCGGTAATGACTTTTTCGAACATATTGGGCGGTATCACAGCCATAACTTGAAGAATGTTGGTTTTCAAGTGTCGAGTGTTACAGGCTAACCCGAATAAACAAGGTCCAAGAACAAAAGCGAGACAGTACTCGCCTGGAAAATTTGTCTCGCAATAAAACCATATACGCTCATGTCGTGTGGCATGTGTCCTACCTCGTTGAAACCGCCTATTGCCCAAGTTATGTTCTTCAATTTCAGGTCGAAAAAATTCGGTTATAATACGACTATAACACTCAGAGTTGCCAGTGACAGTCGCGTTGTTGTCGTTTTCAAAGTAGTAAGATCCTATCACACCGTCAGACCAAAGAGCGCACTAGACAGTAAGTTCTTTTTTGTTTGTTTGCTGTAATGCCCTCTCTTCAACTAATTCAGGATTATAGCAACCCCAAACACAACAGTTTAGCTTATTTATCTATTCCTCGAGCGAGAAATTCGGCTCGTCGCTGATTTGCGAAAAATCCTGGTCCACTGCTTGTTGCTCGATCACCCAATTGTCAGCTGGCTTCAGTGGTTGTGTGAGCTGAGCGAGGGGAACGAAAAAAACGATGATGTGCAGGCCACACAATATCTGTAGTCCGATGTAGTCTAATTTCTTTAAAATTTTACTAATTGCTTGAGTAAATGGATGATTATCTTCACCACAAATGGGTCGATGGGTCATTCAATAACATCAATCAACCAACGGGTTAGACTCCATGCGATTTTTTTTGTTTCCAAAACTCAAGTTACCTCTTAGAGCCCTTTTCGTCTCGATTGAGGCCGTAAAAGAAAATTACCAAATTGAATTGAGGCCGACTGGTCCCAACAGCTGCTGCAAACAAACCGGTTTGACAGATCGCGTTGATTTTTTGGCTTAGTAATTAAAGACAGTGCTACTAATTTAACAAAAAAAGTGCTTACAAATATTCTTGTAATTTCAAGCATTATCGAGTTAGTTCCATTTTCTGATTTGCACTGTAATTACCGCTCGCTATTGCTGCAACTACCCATCTTACATACCTTCCGTCCATGGTGACCTATCTTATGAGAGCGCCACTTAACTGAAAAGTTGTCCCCGTTACTGACGGTTGTCCCGCAGAAGCCAGCGGAGATTAGAATTTCTCCGTAAAACCGGTTTCATATTAAATATACTAAGAAATATAAAAAAAATCAAATGAAAATCGAATTCGTATTTAATTATTTATTATCAGATAGAACATTTTTATTTTATTGCCGTTTATGTTTGAAAAATAAATTATGACATTTTTTGACGAAAATTATAAATCTATTTAAAAGTATGCAAACACACTGGTAGCTGGCAAATTTCTTCGCTGTTAGCAGCATCGATAACTCGTGTATGCATACCTATTTTGCAGTCGGCTGTTACGGCTGGGAGGTACGTAAAATGGGTAGCTGCAACATTAATCGTCAAGACAGCCGAGGTATTGGTGTTAAAATTAATCGGTCGGCTCTCGCTGCAGGTCACGTTGAAGTAGAAATTCAACCTGCTTAAATGAACTAGTATTTAACTAGTATAATGCTGATGCATATTCGAATTCGGATTGGCGGTGCGTAAATCGTTACTATTTTAAAAAGTACCAAATGCTAATATGGGAAAACGATGGAAAGTGAATTTGTAATTTTTTGGTTATGTGTGAAAAAAACTGAACTTGAGCCAGTCTAATGCCAATTCCATTTGAAAAGTATCTAGCCATGTTGCTGATTTTTTTTTTTTTTTTTTTTGGACAAATTGAATTGTCGTTTGAATTCGTCTGAAACCCAACGGGATAAAAATGACGAGTATTTAACGGTCTTTGGATGTCATGTATGAGTGATTGTGCTTTTCTTGTTTCTATTTTTTTTTTTTTTTTTTTTTTTTTTTTTTTTTTTTTGAAATCATTGTCACTTACATCATATTGCCATGTATATGCTAAATTGTAATGTGACAATAAATTGACGGTAATGTGTGCATGTAGACCAGATAAAGGGGTAATGTACATATGCCGCATGAAATTATTATATTCATGAAACAAGGTGGAAGGAGATTAAACTTCTGTTGTCACAAAATCGATGCTCTTTGTTTTATTGCTACCAAACTAAATTAAAAACTTCCTAATATTCAAAAATTAAAATATACACAAAACTTCAAAAATATTTAAATTTAGGGAAAATATGGAAAAATGCTGTTTATTTCTGAATTCCAAGCAAAATCAAGCAATCTCCCTCGCTCCAGTATTTAAAGAAAAAAAATTAAAAAATATTAACTTGGCATACATAACAATTCTTAGACACACTACAACCCACTCGAACAATGTTGCCTCTTAATAATGCAACATTTTAAACCAGAAAGGAATACAAAACATACATACATCATGTTCATACAAGTTTTAGGAAAATATTTTAATGCAAGTGCATAAATAAATAAGGGAATTCCTATGAACACATGTTTGTAGGTGGAAATTGAATGAATCATTATCAATTACCGTTAAAGTAATCATTATCTATTGAAATTGCTGTAATTATACAAATTTGTTTAACTTAATGCAATTACAGCTGTGTCTTCAATTGCAAATATCACACACTTTTCCTGCAATAACACTCTGCCTACATACATATGTATGTATGTATGTATGTATGTATGTATACAGAGAGAAGTTGTCATAGAAGAGGCATCAATGTCAAACCAAACATGTAACCATGTCTAGCTGACCGATCGTCCACCTGCCTGCTTGCTTATGTTGGTAAGAGTACACAATTCTATAAGCCAGCTGTAGCTGTAGCTACCCGGCAGGGAAAAATACTAGTTGCCAGCTAGAAACCAACTAGTTAACACTTTTAGTTAATCTTAAATCTATTTTTTTATGTAAGGCACTGGTGGCGATATTCTATGTCAATTTTCCGTCTATGTATCAGCTCCATAACAGTTTAAATACTGGTTTGTTTATACCAATTGAAAACTGCCACTGTTCAGACCAATCTGTGTCCCCTTGTCAGAAA